CATTTTTAGAGAAAAAAAAACATTGTTGATAATTATAATTACGGTAGATTTCTCTTAAATATACACAAAACCAAACACTTTACCATTACTATTCATTAAAAGTTTAAATAAATAATGAAGGTATAGATTTCAAATGAGAAAGTTTTCAAAAAGTTGAGGTGGGAGCTACATCTCCCTACTGTGGAGCAATTCTTTCTCAGTGACATGTGCATGGAAAGGCCTTCAAAGTTTTGGACGCACTGTGTTTGCACAACACACATCCAGCAGCGCTCGTATTTGATGCATTACCAGTGACATGCTAAATCGCGATGAAAGGTACAGCGAGGCATGCATCCAGTTCTTTTTCCAGCTCTCTAATGTGTTCTGGATTCTGCTGACTTGGCACAACTCACCCAAGTCATCAGACAGCAGCACCATGGCTGGCATTGAGAGGGTTGACTTTGATAGAGTGACCTAATTACCCCATAGTTCTCTCCTTTAAAGCCCTGCTGCTGCTGGCACAGAGACCTGTAATGAGATGGGTCACAGGTTGAAGCCTCGTATGCTATCCCCTAAGACAGCTGATCAAAGCAGGGGCGCCGGTGGTGTTAACTTAACATTTAAAGAAGTTCCAGTGGGAATAATGTAGTGACATCCGTGTGAAAGGGGTTTTAGTACAACGTAAGGACTCTTGATGCTCTTGATGAGATGTCGTGCGTCTGATTTTGCTTTGTTGGCCCCACTTCATACTTACTTGGTTACTTGAAAGATCAATTGATTTGCGCTATTGAAGATAATGAGCAGCTCAAACGCACATTCCAGTGCAAAATCACAATGAGGCTCATGCAAGAACCACTTGTGTTAACAGATTAGTTCTTAACTGGCATGTACAAGTGATTTAAGGCCCCATTTACATTTCCTACCTCAAATGTCTTGTATTTGGACAAAATCAACATGCAAATTCAAGATGCGACTTATGCGTCACCGTATAGGTCATAAATCTGATAGCTATCTGTTGGTTTTCTCATGCTACGTGAAAATCCGTGTTGGCCCTACTACAGCCCAGAGACTAGTGGTAATACACCTGAATCTGTTTGCTGATTGAGAAGACGCTCAGGTGTGCCTTCTGTATAATGTGTTGAAGCTGCTGGAACTGCTTTCGCAAATTTTCTGTGTAATTTGAGCTGCCATTATCACAAGGGACACACCACAGAACACTTACTGATGTAGATACCACTTCTGACACAGCTGAAATTGTTAGGTTTTGTCTGGTGATTTCAGATGGTGTTCATCAAGTATATTAAAGCAATTTACAATAAGTTTGTGCAGCTGAATCCAATCTGGAACACTTGTATGGCAGGTTTAGGATAAGAATTAAAAAGAATTCTGACATGATATGTTGTTTAAATGTGTCAGAAAGCCTGAACATGGACTACTTTTTGGTATTACCCATGATAGCAAGCTAAATAAAGAGCATGCAGCAGAACTTGCAACAGAGGGCATAATTTCGCAGCCGAGTGCTTCTGCCACATGATAATTGACACAACATTCATCAAGCCGTCAGCTGGTTACACCGAACTTAATCTGCGTGCCTGCAGCGCTCATTGAGACAAATGAGAAGGAGGAGTCCGTAACACGTTAATTGCAAGAATACAACCAGAGCCCTATATTATCCATGTCCTTCAGTAAAATCTCTCATCTTTCATTTGACTCCAGGTGCACACATTGTTTTCAGTAAGAAAATCCAATGGAGTGGAATATGGAGGATTAGGGAGAGTGAGAAAAGTCCTCCCATCTAATCCTGCTTTATTTCTATTTGAGGAACTGTATTTAATTTCACACCTTTGATTTATCTGAAAGGTATGATCACTGACGTTGATGTTATTCAGTCAAGTAAATGCTTAAAAGTCTGGCTCAACATTTAAATAAACACCTTGAATGAAATCAATCTTGCCTGCCAAAGAATCGCAGTTTACCTCAGGCTTAGCAGAGATCTCTGACTTTTCCTACTACCAACAAAAGCAAACAATTTCCCTGGCCCCCGTCTAAAGCCTGGAGCCTCATTCATCAACCAGTTTCTTTTAGCCATTGACAAACGGCGAGCGTAAAGAACAAAGACATTATGTTTCTATGATCCTGGCATGCCAGACTCATTCTGCCCTCTCAATAGGCTGCAGTGCTAACACCACACCTTCCTTTGTCTCCATCTATCACTTTCTAACTCTCCCTCTGTCCTACCTTGTCTCATTTTAAATCTCATCTCAGTCTGATTAGGGACTTAATAGGATGAGAAATGTAGTGCTGGCCGAAGAGCATCTGTCGCCTGTGCCACGCTGCAGCTGATTTACATCTCCTCATTGTTTGTGGCTGCTGTGAGGCAGCGGTCAGGTAATGTGATGTGGGGGGAGGGGGTTTCAATCTTTTGCTTCATTGTGGAAGAAATGGAACATTTTTGATTGAATAAAAAATACAATTTTCAAACAATTCAATGGCCGCTGACTGTGCCCTCAACAGTAGAATATGATACAGGAGAAGCCAAGTCGATCATTCCCAAAGTGCTTCTAGGGCACAGTAGGTGAGAAAGACCAACAACAGATAAAGGAAAGGAAGTGAGAGCATAGTTTCGCTCTCCCTCACTTATTCCCTACCGATATCCCTCTCCCTTTTGTGTTCCCATGCGTCCTGAAACGTCTGGCTCATAATCGAGGAAACGATTGCCCCTGTGGCTGGCCCCGGCACATAACGAGCTCCCTGCCAAGATAACTGTGACTGGGGCAAGAGAGGAGGGCATTGCCAGAGTGATAAACGAGCCAGATGTGCTGGCGGTTGCCAAGGGGGGGTGGGTTGGCACCAGGACCTGACGGACGGGCACATGGATGCTGGCCAGGCTATTGTGTCTGGGCAGGAGAGGTGGAGGGCTGCTGATGATGTCCCGCTCTCCTGTGTGATAAAACACAGGAAATGTGATTTTTTCATAAACAGCTTTGACAAGCACAGAGGGGGATGAAATCTTTCAGACCGTGAATGCAAATCGACTGGAACAAGTAGTACTCCAGATGTCGTTTCAGTTGTGGTTTCATTTCCAAGGCTCGTCTTTGTTTGTAGGACGAAAGACGGAAACAGGAAACACCCAAAAAATTCCAATACAATGCCAAAAATATTTTAGAAGAATGGGTTTGAAATTCAATATTTATCTTTTTTTCCCCCATTAATTTAAGGTTGAGAACAGTTCAGAGAGGTAGGTGGTTCAACAAACGTAACCTCTTTAACCCCACAGACTCACCTGAGGGTCAGTCAGGTCAGCCTCATATTTACTCAAACCCACAAACTTTACTTAAATTCTGGGCAAGAATCCACAGTTTCCAAAGATAAATAGTTAATATGCATTTAAAGTGAGGCACTGAATGATTATTTACATCTCACTTATCAAGGATCAAGATCAAGATTTTTGATTTGCCCCAGTTGAGAAACTGGTATTCTCTCCCGACCCTGAGGTTGGCAGATTCAAAAATATTCAGGAAGGGAGCAGATTTGAGAAGTGAAACCTGAGACACAATTTTGTCTTTACACATACTATGATGGTTTACGAGCGTGATTTTCCCCTGAAACAGGTTATAGATTATATATTTGTCTGCTCATCATCTGCAAGTGAGTTACATCCCTTTTCCTCCCGCATAGCTACTCTAACATAATTTAACAGCTTTTAATTAGATGACTGGTGCAATTTGAAGACAGGTTGTTGTTTTGCATCTGCTAAGGTCCAGCAGTCATGAAAGCACACACACAGATCAACTCCTGCCAAAACGCTGCGAAGAAAAAACATCATATTCTTCCCTTCTTCTCTGGGCCACTCACCGCAAGCCCCTCTAATAACAGTTGCGGGTTATCATTCTGCCAGAAACGACTACTGGAGAAGCTGCCCCACAGGTACGGTTAAGCCTCGCACACTTGTAGGGAGAATATGTTTTCATTTGGACGCTGGCTGTGTAAATAAGAGAGTCATGCATAAGTTTGTAATTGGCCGGAGTTTGTGTACAACAGAAAAGGACATTTGTCATGTGTACTATACAAGGTTACATCACAAACCTTGCAACAAACAGAGGTATTTATAGATGTTTCCTCCAGAACAAACCACTATAAAAAGATTCCCCCCACACACACACACACACAGACACACCAATGAGAGCTAGACTGTCCTTGCTTAGTAAAACCCAAGGGGACTTTTTATTACACCAGTTATGCATTTTACGAGGGCCATCATGTTGGCTAAGGAGCAGTTTCTCTAATCAAATGTGGAGTGCTTGTGAGGGGAGGTTTTCCAGTCAAACGCTGATTCCCATAATCAGATGAGTCACTGCGTCAAGGTTGTCCTCCTCAGATAACTTGAGTTTGGAGCGGAAAAATTGAGTCCTGCAGAGGAAGGGTAGTGTGTGCGCACATTTCTGTATGTTTGGACAGCTTACTCGACAAGTGCACCAAATCATTTACCAGAGTGGGATGTGTTATTGTTTTTCTGCACATACTCTTTGTCACCTTAAATTGAACAAAAAAACAACTCACCCTGAAAATAGCTTTTCCTGTGCAACCGCTTTCTTCCAAAAAACACACACACACACACACACACACATAATGAGGCTGAGATCCTAATCTTCCTTGCATTAATGTGTTTATATTTACTGCAGCAAACTGAAGTTTCAAGGAAGTGGAAAACTTCCCCCTCTGCATATAGTTTTTCCTGTTTAGCATATGACAAATGAGAATAGCTCACTTTTCATGCACCAACTGTGCACCGGCAAACAGCTTTCCTAATTACACTCCTAATGGAAAGCAAACAGCATGCGACACACACAATTTCCACTCACAACCATGTTAAGTATAAAACCTAATCCACCATACAGGAACCATTAACAGCTGGCTGGATGAGGTTTGCCTCTGAGGTAAGGAAGAGGAAACTGGATATGTAGAGACGCCAAGACAAGAGCCAGCGAACACACCGGCCCCCGTGGCATGCATTAATTTACCTTTCCCAGCAGGAGGAGAAGTGCCTGGCGAAACCGGAGTCTCTGGAACACGAACAGGTCATACACAGCCGACACGGCCAGCACCGTCACCCCTTGCTCCTTCCACAGCATGCTGGCTGCAGCACACCACAGGCTGCCCAGCATCCAGCCCCAGCACCTGGTGACCGAGCTGCTCTGAAAAGTCCCACATGGGTTCCCACGAAGTGCACAGTGTCTCATATAGCAGAGAAGAGACAGCAAAAAAAACAATGCTGCACCAACATCCGCCCTCCCAACCACGCCAGCGACTGCTTCAGTGTGAACCGCATGAGAAGCAAAAAGAAGGCCAGCCAGCAGGCTCCACAGTCCTCCACCGAGAAGCGGGCGACTGAAGGCCGTAAAGAGGGCGGTGACCAGAGCGTGCAGCACCAGGTTCAGCAGGTGGTAGCCCCAGGGACGCAGGCCGTGCAGCGCGTAGTTGAGGCGGAAGGAGAGGGTGCAGAGAGGACGAAAGGACTTGTGGCTGCCGCTGTGAGTGAGCAGGGTGCCCCAGAAGTCGTCATACAGGATGTTGGTCCACGGAGTCTCAGGAAGAAGGTCCTGGTTGGTCTTGATGGCTCGGCTATAAAGGGCAGAAGAAATACCGATAAAGTTCCTCAAATAAAAGAGAGTCTACTGTAGGTACAGTACATACAGTAAGCACAGGTGTTAGGGAAAATGTAGCTGTTATTTTGTAATATACTCCATATTGTTTTGTGGTTTTATATTTTTCGCAATTAGTGATTTTTTTTGGCCACTTGGGGGCAGCGGAAGCAAGCTCTGAACACAACACATATTATTTTCTTTAAAGTCGATATGGCAAAATTGTAAGCAAAAAGCTAATTTAGCTAACATCCAGCAGATAAGAAACAATGTTAACATTAATTTGAAGTCATGTTTCTGCTTGCTGCAAAAGAAAACCTCTCTTTCACATATAAGTAGTCATGTGATCAACATATACATAATACATACATACAAAAAGCACAAAAAAGTGTCTTTAAGCTAAAAAGAAACATTAAATTATGAAACTAAGTATTTTAACATGTGAATAAATCACTTTCTTTTCAAAAGACTTTTTGGGAAAAATTCAACCCCCTGCATCTCGAGACACATGCTGTATATCAGCATGGCTTCATGTGGAATAATATGTTTTCCACATTGCTGATGATGATCCAGTCATAAGTAAAATTTAATAGACAAATGTAATAAACAGGCCACAGAGTGTGTGATTAAAAATACAGACATGCGCTGTGTAGAAAACACAGCATGTACACATGTCACAGGTACCTGCTTACGCACACATGGGCAGGTGGTTTCACACCCCCGAGGCTGCTGCGGATTCTCATAATTAGCAGATCATTACCGGGAACATGGGCTGCATTCATGTACACTCACAGGCTGTAACGAATGAGGTTCACTACAGGGATTAAGAGTGATGAATGGCAGCTATAACAACCCACAAGTGGAAGAATCCCACACAAGATATAAAGTATAATAATAATAAAAAAATATCAGAAATTTGATTAGAGATGAAGCTGGCATAGATATCACATACTGGCTGTCAATAACAGCAAATTTTATTTTCCTGACACTAAGCAGCCTACCAGAAGTGGGCACCAAGGAGAAAACTAACAAACACACAGAAAAACTAAGCAAAAAGAAAATTACAAACCAGTATTTCCAGTATTGTTAATATCTGAGGTTCTACCTGGAGTTCAGTTTTGATGCCTAGATTGATAAAGTATGCATTTCTCTAAACACAATTTTAAACTAATTTTAACAAATGTAATGAGTCTTGTATATGTGAATCTTATAATCAGTCAAATGATCAAATTCACTGAATGTTGGACTGCCATCAGCTTCTTCTTTATTAAGAAACACAACTGCCTGAAAACATATAGTATCACTGAACACGCTAAATGGAACACTGTGGCTTCAGGGCTTTATAAAAACTACATTCAGCTGTAGTGCCAATGCTACCCAACTAGCAGGCACCAGATATTAGATCAATGTAAGATTAAGATTTGACTGTTGACTGACAGCAATACAAATTATCTCATATCACCTTCTAGCAGGTAAAAGGCCACTCAGCCCTATCTAATATAAATGAAATTATTTTTTTATTTGAAATTGTGGCACAAAGGGACCTGAACTTACTGGATGTGCTTAACCCTCTAACCCAGGTGTGGCAAAACCAGTTAGATACTAGCACCCAAAAAATAACTATCATCAGAAACATGCAAGAAGCCAAACATTTAAAGTAATTCCAATTGATTGATTGATTGAATAAAAACTCAATGTCAATAAAAAGAAATAGTGATAAGTGATTTTACTGAAGCTATTCAACCTTCCAGAAGAAAATAAGAAAGTTACCAAAACTCTGACAAAAAATGTTGGAAGTGGAAAAAAAGATAAAAATGGAGGAAAAATGTGTAGTTTTACTTTATCAACTAAAGCTTCCAGAACTATGGAACTAGAGAAACTGAACCTTCCCTTTTGCAGTTTCCTGTTCGCTTTATAACCTAACCACTGTGTCACCTGGGGCTCATTTTAAATGCTGTTTGTGTTGCAAGTGCAAGTTTTTTTTTTGTTTACAAACTGAATAAAGAATTCATCAATTCAACTTTAATTCAGACGTCACAGTCAGACCGATGGAAGACGATAGTAACTTAAAATCAGTAAATCAGCTAATTGCTTTTACTATACTAGACTATACTCAGCTGTAGACAATGCCACCTAACGAGTACTGACTCAGAAGCAAACCATGCACATGACCTGTGCCCTGCAGAAATGATGGGTTTAATTTAGTTTTAGTATACAGAACACAGATATATACAAAAGATCTCTTCTGAAGACAACATATGATGATTTTGTTTTATATTGCATGTTGCAACCTGCAAACTCTGGTTATGTGAGATCGAATGTCAGAAACTTTCCAAGATTTGATCACACTGGCCTAATGGAAATCTTCTTTCTCAGGGCTTGATAACGATCATCGCTGTTTCTGCAATGGCGCACAAGAGAGGAAAGGGACAGCGACATGGGGGCCAGCCGAGGACTTCCTTTGTCTCGAGATTGTAACTGAGTGCAGAGCGCATAAAGAAGAGGGAGGGAGAGGACGAGGGAGCTCGAGCTGCCAGCCTGCACCCAGCATGAGAGCAGGCAAAGTAAAAAGGGAAAGACTGACAATGAGAAAAAGAAAGAGAAACATTTTAAAATAAAAAGGACATCAAATGAGGTGTCAAAGCGAGAACTGCTCAATGCATTAATCTTAATTCTAATGTTTTTTCCTTCAAGCCTGCAGCCCTGTCATCGCGTGAGCTATATAGTAAATCCCTCCATTTCCCAGGATTGTTCTCTGTCAGGGAAAGGCAAGTGTGTGTTTCTCAGGCTCCGAGCTGCTACAAGCCAAAGTGGAACTCTCCCTTGTCCGATATATCTAAGAACTGAATGCATTACATCACTCAGTTTACTTCCTCTTCATTTTTTTTTTTTTACTGTAGTTCCACAGCGGGCTATTATTTATAAAATGTTTTACAGCCCCAGTAGCATGGTATGATGGTGGGAGGACTCGGAATATAAGAGCAATAAACCTATATTGAAATGTAATGATTATCGACATTGAAAGTTTTATTCATGCTGTATATTAATATTAATGTCTTAAGTATTGGTATAGAGAGACTACAGCAATACGCCATTACTGAATCAGAATAAGTAACGTGTCCACCAAAATCAGCAATTGTGTCCATGTTTTTTTCCACTTTCCTGTCCCCTCAAGCAATAACAGCACACTATCAAATCAAAACATGGCTGGATTCACCCTCACGTCCTTTGGGATGGCTTGGATCTCAATACTCTCTGGTGATAAATAATTTAAATATTTAAATCAGTGCCAACCACCCATCTCCCTCCCTGTTCCTGCCCGCCACTGGAGGATGAAAAGAATGCATTAGCCATGAGGGTTTGGGAATGGATTGAAAGTACTGTTGTGTGTGTGTGTGTGTGCCTATAAGGGGTATACATGCAAAGGTGTCTTTCTTTGTGTTTGTGAGTGTGTGTGCTGATGGCTTCATTGAGACCTGTCGCTGCAGCGGTGCAGATAGAGTGGTCTCCCGTAGTGATTGCTCTTACAGAGTGGGGTCTTTTGTATTCAGCCACCGTATGTGGGGCAGGCAGGCAGGCTGTGGGGCACTCTATTCACAATCCTCAAAGTACAGGACGGGTTTGGTCTTTTCAATTTTCTTCTCTTTTTTTTGTGGGGGGAGGTAAAATCGAAGGGATTTCCATCATGGGCTGAAAAGAGACATTAGCGGGTATGGGTAAGGATTTTTTTTTTTTTTTTGTAATGGGTTGAGGTCTTCTTTCACCTGTCCACTGCTTTTAGTGAAGAGAAAATTAGATGTCTTTCAGTGTCTGGATATGTGTCTTTTCAATATGCAAATGTGGCACTCCACCACCTCCCCAACAGTGATCTCACCACCAGTGATTTGCTTTTTTTTGTGATGTGGCTGCCTACAGATACACACTGTAGGCCTCTGTTAGGGGGAGCAGGCAAATATACATTGAATATGTAAAAAATATGAGGGACATTTTCTGTACACTGATTAGGTGACTCAAGTAAAAGCCATTATTCATTATCACAACACATCAGTCAGAAAAGAGGAGATGTAGACAAAGAGAAGAAGAGGAGTTACAGAAGTTTAAAAAAAAAAGATGACTCCATTAGCTCCCATGTGTGGGAGGAATAGAAATCATTGCATCTCCTAAAAATACAGTTATGGTGGAGCTGACTCTACTGGCAGATTATTACAGTTTTTATTTCTTGTGCAGCAAGTATAAAAAGAGTTGGCACACCCTAATATGTCAGGATACTGGAAATATTTCCAGTTTCTATGATTAGCACAAAGGAATAAAATGCACAGATTCTCAGCTATGCAGTCTTCAGGGTAATAATAGGGTAATATTCACAATAATAATATTGAAATTGGGTTTTTTTTAACCTGTCATGAACACATACTTTTAATTAGATTATTGTCTTCTTTATATTAAAGTACTAGCACTATTCAGTTTTATTGTACACAAACAAAAATGTTTACATTTATTGTTTCTGACCAAAACATACACCATTGTTGTGTTAAATGCACTTTCTTTCTCATAAAACATTTGCAAACCCATTTTTTTGTCAATATTCTAAGTGGTGCATTTTATTTTTTTACATATTGTTTTATTTGCTAGCTTGCAGTGTTCTTCTTTACTGCCTTTGTCAGCAGATTGCTGTGTTTATTTGTGCGTAACAGCCGTCAACTATCAATCAGAGGAATAGTGCAAAACCGGCAACAGGAATGCATGTCGCATAACTTACATGATTGTGCACCTGGTGTGCTTCCTGGGCCTTGTACAAACAAAATGGGGAACCGCTCATGAATATATTGCTCCGTATAGCTACTAGTGGTCAAAACCGCCACATGGTGCCCATACATTCACAAAGCTATATATAGATGATGTATATAATTTACACATTATCATGGTATAGGCAACTAATCTTAACTAATATCAATAACATTTGGAATCTATTATGGAATC